CTTATGGGAAAATTTGATTCTGTTCGCGACCAAAATCGGTTCGCGACCACGTTCGTAGGGGTCAGAACAGATTAACCTTATTTACAATGAACCTTATGGGGAAATTAGATTTGCGACTTTGGTTCGCGACCAGAATTGCGTAACAAATTTTGTTCATGAACAGAGGTACCACTGTATTGTGCTGCAATTAAGATTTTTTTGTACAGTAAAAATACATATATTTGACTTCTTAACCAGGTAAAGAATTTGTAATTATGGCCAACCATTTTTGTCAGTAAGTTTACTCCTTACTACTTCATGGTTTAGTATTACTGCTAAGTGAGATAGCTTTCCTGAAGTCAAAGGTCAAATTCCCTTCTAAAGGAACAGGTGATGCTGATACTCTGTACAGTAAGGAGACTGGAGGCAGAGAGGTGACATAGGAAGCTGAGTTCTCAAACCAGTAAGATGAACTGCTTAATCAGAAACTACATGTACCTATCTGGCGTTGCAGCGTGGAAAATATAAATGTAAAGACTAGGTCGACTTTGGGAAGTAAAAGGATATCATATTTGTTTTTTTTTTTTTTAGTTCTGTATTTAAGTGGTATGTGCAGAATTTCGCTTTAAAGTCTAATGTCCTCTAGAGAGGCTGGCATCTTTCAGCACAAAAACTCTCAGGACAGCTGTCACCTCCAAGGCTCCCACCTGTCGTCAGAAGCTCCTTAAAACCAATTTTAGGGTAGGGACACTATATATGTGATGCTGATGAGGTCTATATTTATCTGGAACTAGCACTGCATCTGGGAATCGGACAATGGCAGCCACTGGCGCTGGATAGGAATCGTGGCTATGAAAGGCAGGAACTGTCCTGACAGTTACAAAATGACAGGGTGTAAAGTATACATAGCGACGCACTTTTATTTTTTTTTAAACTACATTGATGTATTCTTCTGTTTAGACAGATATTTATATCTATATTTATTAGTAAGAACTGCATGGTTTCAAATCATCCTCACACATCATCATCCTGTGCTCATTTCATGTCAGTCCTTCCTGCATTAACGATGCGCAGTAGCTACTTATTATAGACAACTAGAACTACTACTCTGATGTTCATGTGAGCCATTAGTATGTAATGGTCAAGTCAGATTCCCTGGCTTCAAACCCCCTACTGATGACCACAGACGTTATAACTATTACCCATTTAAACTGTGATCATTCTTTGTTTTCTCAGGATACTCCTGTAAGTTTTCTTTATTATGCAATCATCTGGTTTAATTATAAATCAAAACACATATAAGCACACCACATATTATTTGATCAGGTAAGCAAGATATTTTCTGAACTATCGGATCAATTTTAAATTTGATCCAGCAATATTCCAATCCAATCGTTCCACAAAGCACCTAATATGCAGAAACTGTATGCTCGTGGAAAATTGCTTTAAACATTTCTATTTTATATAGTAAAGTGGTATTCCAGACACACAGCTTTATTTACAGTTTAAATATATGCAGTATGTTTACTGCTCTACCAACTAAAGGATTTGTAATTTTTGCCCAGGCAGTCTTGCAATACACACCTCTCTAGTATTCAGGATGATCACTGTGCTACTTATTGTTTAAATGACTGTTTCCTATGTCTTCCTAGATCAGATCCCTGCTAGTTAGTTAGAGGCAATTATGCGGATTCGTGGTCTACTGATTGCGGGAACAGAGGTGACATGAGAAGCCACAAAGTTGAACCCGGCAGATGAAAAGCTGCCTGTGCAGGGTGCCAGAAAGGCATATTTCATAAGTACACAATGGACAGGATTACAATTTCCTTGGCAGGTAAATCAGTAAACATACATGTATTTCAACTCTCCATTTAGTGGTTTACCCGGAGTTTCACTTTAATAATAAAAAAGGCAAAATTGTCCATTTTAAAATTTAGAACAATAAAAGACATCTTCCAAAAATATATCTTACGTGAATTTTACAGTATGCACTAGAGCTGCAAACCACAGAAATAATTATACATGATACACAGCATTTATTCTTAAAAATCTCAGGCTCCTTGGATTCAACGTTTATTGCAACGTTTCTAACAATTCTACCCTAAGTGAAACGGCTCTCAAAACTGTTAAACCATTGTTCAAGCTAATGGGTGGCAATGCTGTGAAGAGGCAGCTACCTACATGTGACAGGTCTTTTATGGTAGACCATGGAGAAAATGTAGGTGGCCAGACCAAAGAAGGATGTCTAATTCTTTCCCTAATTTAAAAGCTCCAATAACAAAATCTCCAGTTTATTAAATGCCATTTCCAAACTTGTTCCTTGTATGTGCCCAACAAGGTAATACTATAGTTCAAATGCGAACAGCAGGGGAGAAAAAAAAAGAAGCTTTTTGTACTTGTTCTTGAAGTACATTGCGGGACATAGAAATTCAGGAATTCTGAAACAGTCTGGTTATACTGCCCCCTACAGGAGGTTTGGACACAGGCAAACAGAAAAAACTGGTGAATGCCAGCTTCTGTAAAATCTTGCCTCTAACCGTCATGTGAGCAAGCTGTACAAATTGCCAATAAGCACAGAGGAGTAGCGGGATCAGTGTCCCTCAATGGGCTTCAAGAAAAATATTTTTTTCCATTAAGTACAACAATCTAATTTTTTTTTATAATCAATTGAGGGATGCAGGAATTCAGAAATTCAGAATTGTTCAAAAGCAGTCCAAAACTGAGGTGTGGGCAACAGTCATTCATGGATCTAACATAGAATCATGAGCCGTCTACAACAACCAGCATTTGTGTGCACACTGCTAAGGAAGCTAAGGCAGAGAGACAGGGCTCCTATGACCTTTACGCAGATTTCTTGCAGTCTAGTAGGAGAATATTGTGGCCTTCTGAGGCATTGCTTATGACCGTGTTAATAGGACAAGTGTTCTCTGAACGTCTCATTAGTGTCCCAAGCACATAGCCAGAGTTCCCTGTGCATTTGTGCACACATCAGTCCTATGCGGGAGACAGAGGCTTGTAATAAATGATCACAGTTAAAGCACATAGCTCTAGACATCTGCTCCAACCCTTCCTTAATTCAGCGACCTACCGCAGTGGTGGAAGGATTCTCCCTAAGGAGTTTAATCTATTCTGACATTGTTTGACAGATCAGAGTTGCCACCAATACAAGATGGAGGGTCAAATCATTTAGCTCAAACTGCAGTCTTAGGAGAGAATTTACATTAGGCATGGATCATTTATTAGTGAATCTCCTCTCAAAGGGAAAATGATATGCACAGTCTCAGGTGGGGCCCAGAACCCTTCAGGATGTTTCTACTCTGCATAAAGGAAATTTTTAAACAGTGGGTGTAGCAGGAAGGTCTTCGCAGCCATAGGAGCTCTAAAAGACCGAAGTCTTATAACAGCAGGCTGACCCTCCAAATGCAGGGTGATGAGCACTACATTGATAAAATTTGAAACAAACCCTTGTATATTTGAGTCAACTGCAATGACCCAAAAACAGCCCCTCCCAACTGTTGGGATTCTAAATCTGAATCGAAACAGGGGATGCAGGCCTGGTTTGACTCACGGTCACAAGAGGGTCCGAGACAATCTCTGCCAAGGATGGCGCTGGAGCATGCTTAGAACCCTTATGGACAGAATGATCCAGTAACTGGGTACAAATAGCTAGGGCATGCCTAGTGGATACAGAAGTCCCCGCAGACATGAGGGAGGTCCTGGCATCGCTGGATGGAGCTGAAATAGACCTCATAGATGAGGACCCTATAATGATAGGGGTCCCAGGCTCCAGGTGTCAGCCAGTTTAATGTACCCAGAACCATGAAGGGAATATTGTCTGAGGTCACCCGTAGCAGCAGGACTGTCCTCTGTGTCTTTGAAAAGACATGTTGCACCACATGGCGGTCAGCGACTAGGCCAATGTGGGGCAAGGCCTCAAGTACTCACAAATTTGAGCAGCTGGTGCTGATGAGGGTTTCAGGAGGCTGTAGGTTAGTTACTGTAGGGGATTACCAGAGATCAAAGATCCGCTTGGTAATTCATGAGCAGGATGGTGCTTACTTTAGGCGGAATGGTTGGAAAGAGAGCGTGGAGTGCATGGGTGCAGCACTCCACCTAGAAGATGGGAATAGTGCCCCCCAATCTCACCCTTAACCCTTACCGCAGTAAAGATGGTGGAGGCCGGAAATGTGAAAAATGGTGCCCAAAGGTAATAACTGAAGGAGCTTGCAGAGCTTCAGCCTGACCAGCCTTACTCACAAAGTGAGTCTTCAGAGGCTGAAGGTCTGCCTCTGAAGGTCGCATTTCAGGCATACCTTGCCACATCCAGAAGCCTAATCACAGAGTGAGTCTTCAGAGGCAGGGTCACACCGAAGGCTGTGCCACAGCTCTGAACCCAAAAAGCGTTCTGCGGCTAACTGAGCCAGCACACTCAGGTCTAGAAAGCACCTCAATGCAGAGTCCAGTTCCCAAAGGTCACATTCCAGGCTTGCCTCACATTCTTCCAGCCCAGTGGGGTCTGGCCCTCAAAGTTGATGCAAAGAATATACTGATCTGGATAGCTGGTAATCTTGAATGACGTCATCATAAAAATATGCAGGGTTATACAGAGGTTGGCTTTTAATTTTTTTTTCTGTTTGCCAGTTTCCACACCTCCTATAGGAGGCATTATAAAGCGACTGTTTCAGAATTCCTGTGTCCCTAATGGACAATGACAAGATAAAAAGGTGTTGCTTATAGCAGCCAGCCAGGATGGAAAACAGATAGAAAGCAGTTACCTAGTTTCTATGCACAACACCTTTTTTTTTCACTTTTGAAACCAGGGTTTTAAATATTACCATGTAGTACTGAGGCTGTGCCAAAACCACACAGGGAGGGAAGATGGGCCTACACGCCAAGGAATTGGACTGATTATGGAACCCAGGGTAATATGGGCGATATAAAGAAAAATAAATTGTGACAGTATAAAGTCCATATCATTTTGATTAATGCCAAGATATTCTAATAATATGGAAGTTACAAACCGTAGTTTTCTCAGCCTGTTCTCTGTGCTTTGGGATAGGTTATTTGTCTCTTCTTTCCATTTGTAGCTTGTTTTTCGCTGGGCCGTCAGTAGCCTCATAAGCTCTTGCATGGACTTTCGGCAGCTGTCTTCCATCTCCTCTAGCTGTACTTCATAGCCTTGCTCCTTCACAGAAAATTCATGAGCCATGGTGCTTAACTAAAGAAAGAAAACAATGCTGACATCTTCATTCTGCTGGTAACAATAACTTACTTCCTGTATTCCGGGCTGTGTTGTTACACCAACAGTACAGAAATATTGCTTTAGAGCCCTGGTTCTCAACTCTCTCTACAATGACAGGAGAAATTATGACAGGGGACACTGATGGACATTATGTATTCCAAGCCCACACAATGCTCACCAGTGTCCCCTGTCATTCATATTGTCTCCTGTCAGTGGGGGCTTTAGAAGGGCTGTGCTGCAAGTTTTCTACTTGCAGCGAAGCCAGTGCTAATGCCTCCCCAGCTTCTGCACTGACAGGAGACATTGTGACAGGGGACACCACCACGGTTTTTGGGGGACCTGATACCATGGCAATATGGATGGAGCTCTGTCACAGCACTGCAGCCCCCACTGGACCTCAGGCTGAGGATCCACCACACTTCTCGATATGATAGGGAGACTGGGTGGATCTTAAAAAAAGGAAAACAAATTTTAATTTATTTTGGAGTGTGTGTGAGAATGTCTGCGAGTGTGTGGGAGATTGTGTCTGTGGTTGTGTGTGTCTGACAGTGTTTTTGAGGGTCCGTTCACACTAGTACAGAGCGTTAATTGCACAGTCCATTGCGATAACTGCATTGTACCACGCAAAAATTGCATCTACCGCAAATTCTGGTGTGGGAGTTGTGTTGCATTGCCATTCATTTGAATGGCACGCCAAACGCACCTCCTGTCCACAGTTTGATCGCCCGCATCGGAACGTGCGATACCGCAATGCCGTGCGTTCCAATGCATTGCGACTTGGGTCGCGACTTAATGACCAAGGACAAATGTGGGTCCTGAGGTTATACAGGTTGAGAACCACTGCTTTAGAGGGTCCCTTAATCCATTTCAGTGGTAAACTGGAAAGAGGGGTGTGCATCAAGTTGCACCCTGCAGGCACAGTGGCAGGAAGCTGTGAACTAAATAGCAGGTTCTCTTCCCTCTGTACAGCTGCCACAAGTATAAAATGCAATTCCTGCCTCCTTAGGTTAGGAATTACAGTTCATAAACATTTACCACAAGTAGCTTGGGATCAGCTTTTTCACTGGCCATGACAAAATAGGAAATTGGCGAAGCCTCACATTACAGAAATCACACTGAACTCTGAACTCAAAGCATATATAAAGACAGAAATCAATGCAATTGTGTAACCATTAAATGCATTTTTCAAATGCAATCAGTGTAGGCATCTGAATTTGACCTGGTATCAGCCTCCTGCAGTCCCTGTACAGCACAGCTGGAGTGCAGGAGGAAGAAGCAATAAAAAAAGACACCATTCAGTTCATGTGCTGACAAGAATCATTTTGACAGAAAGCAGAGTGACAGAGGGATGAGATAATCACAGTGCTGCTTCTCTTTTCACTGTGCAGCCACAGGCTGGGGCATGTGAAGGACAGCCTGGGCTCAGAAGAAATGGGTTGAATGATGCTGGCTATAAGACTGAGGACATTTAGCAGAAACAAAAAAGCACTGTAGGGGAAGCCGGTTTTGTTATATTATTTACTTTACTTAAATATTGCCCAATATTTAAACTTAAAGTGACACTAAAGTCAGGAGTTAAATCTTAGAAATGCATTCAAGTACCCTAACTAGCAACAAAAATGTATCTTATTTGTGTATCACTCAGCTGTAGATCCTCCAATCATCTCTGAATTGGTGCTGACACTGTGCTTCCTCCTGGAGGGTGGCTACTTCTGTTCCCCATGGTCCCTGTATGTGTTGCAAGGTAGCCACCACTCCAAGCTCACTCTTGTTATGGACTAAAATAGTTTACTAATTTGTATTAAGATTATAGTTTATCATAAGAGCAAGCTTGGAGAGGTGGCTACCTTACAAAACACACATGGGTACCATGGGGAGCAAAAGTAGCCACCCTCCAGAAGGAAGGGCAGTGTCAGCAACAATTCAGAGACGATTAGAGGATTAAGGTCTCGTTCACACCTAGGCGTATTGCATATGCGCGATTCGCGGTAAAAAAGTTGCGCGACCGTCGGCTACTTGGCTGTATCCCAATGGAAACGCGCAACAAACCGGCCCAAAGTAGTACCTGTACCTTTTCAAGCGTGGGCCGTTTTGTAGCGCGTTAGGGACGGACGGAAATACGCCAAGGTGGGAACGAGACCATTGAATACAATGGGATTTATATTTTTGAGCGTTTTGTAGAGCGTTGGTCGAGCGTAGAACGCGCTACAAAACGTTCAGGTGTGAACGAGACCTTACAGCTGAGTGATACACAAATAAGATACATTTCTGTTAATAGTTAGGGCACTTTTAAGATTTAACGCCTGAGTTTAGTATCACGTAAACACTGCCAGTTAGAGTAGGGAAGGGGAAAGGAGAGATGTTCAAACCTTTCCCAACTTTATCCAAATATATACAGCAGCCAAGTACACTACAAACATCTTAATACCTTCATGCACCTGTGATTGCAAATGCAACATACGAATGGACATTACTATGGCAGAATACTTTAAATAAGATCTCTGCTCTAAATGATAGAGTCTACACAGTTTCTAATGAATGAGCTGTTCATTATTGTTATTGTTATAATCATAATATAAAAATATTATATATAGCTCAAGTCTTCATTTCCTGCACCTGGGAAAGCTTATAGTATACAAATTAGCTGCTGATTCCCAAACCCTGCTCATGCATCGAGACAAATGACAACAGCTCACTGTGAAGCAGAACAGATAGTGGGGAGGCACAAGTTCTAGAAATGTGACCTATCCAGTATCCCTGTAGACATAAAACACATCTGCTCGCATGTGATAGCGTTTGAACTGTAAAATAGGCAGCCAGTCATTGTAGCAGATATAAAAGGTACTGAAAACACCAGCGAGATTTGCTGCAGCTATCTTCTGCATTCTATCTAACACAGAAAGCAGCAATGGACATGCTGAAGACAGAGGATGAGAAGCCACAATAAAGGATCAGAAATGCATACGTGTCTATGTGACCTCTGACTATTAGAAGCATGATGCTCCCTTTATTTATAGATGCCCATGCTTCTTGTTGATTGCATAGTCCTAGTGCTAAGCCTTACAGACCGCTAAAGAGATACCACCACTTCCACACAGAGAGCATGAGTTCTGTCTGCAGCTGAATGCCAGGGAAGCGGCGTTTAGACCGGCAATGGGGAGCAATTTATCTACTTACAAGAAGACATTTTCATTTCAGCTTTCTGCTTAGAATTCACTGTCGCTAGATACTTTTATTTAAACTTCAATTGGGCTGTAATGATTTTTAATGAATACATAACTGGGCTAAAAGCTTTTTTTTTTACATTTTCCTGGAATCCTGCTTTAAATTATTTTTTTGCACACTATCCGCTTAAGAGAAAACAAATACATGGTCGCAGGTGCAGCAAAAAGCTTCTTGCCGCTTGATACTGAAAAGGAACAAATAATATTCATTTTAACACTCTTGTATAAAACATGCTGCTGACGAGCTCCAAGTGCCTGCTTTGTACAATCTCCTACATTTACCATCTGTCTGTTTGGGTGATTTGTATGGATGCATTTGGTATTTTTATTGTAATTTATGGAAAGTGCTCAGTTTTCTAATTACCGTTCTGAAATATACATAAAAGAAACTTTGAATGGACTATTCGGCAGCAGTCATTTAACCAGTGCTCTCTGTTCACTTAACTTCCTACACAAAAGACTAGCTCAGGGATAGGCAACTTTTGGTGCTGCAGCTGTACCACACCATATCTGACATGCTAAGCAGAAGCAAATATTCTAGAAAGTTTAAGGGCCCGTTCACACTGCGTTTTACTGAACCAGATCAACATATGTCATTGCTAGGACACATAGAAAACAATCTCTTCTATGTCCCCTCTTTTTAATGCGGGTGTAATGGGTGGTGCTCTACAGAACAATGCAAACTTTCTCTGTATTTTTGCAGCACACTGGATGCCACAACAGGTCGCCACATGGCAGCACAGCACACCATGCTGCTGTACAGAAACCGGAATGGAACGGAGACATTGTGCACGCTACGTAAAGATAGAAATAAAAGTAAACAGTGACAGCTCAAAGCACACTGCCAGAGCTGCTACAATGCACTAGCCCCTCTAGTAAAACGCAGTGTTTTAGCAGATGCGCTAGTGTGAATGGGCCCTAAAGCTACCCGTGCATTCAGTGAGACAGTATAACCATACAGGTTATGGTGAGAAGCAACTAAAAAGGAATCAAAAAAATGCTTCAACCAAATCAGTATGCAGCACAGTAAAGTCTTCTTAAAATAGGAGGTATTCACATATCCCAAAAATAAGAGGATTGTTCCTCATTTCAGGACAGTGGGTGGTGCCATGTATACCATTCCTTAATACCCCAGCAGCCAGATACACATCCAAAGCAGCTGGTGCCTAGTTCAAATATAACCTAGCATTATCATTATTGCAATATGCACGGACACCGGTTTTTCAGTACCGAGTACTGATATTTATCTTTTGGTCAGAGGAAATCGCCCTCTGACCAGAAGTTCCGGTATTGGGGGTTAGTATCGGAGCATTTGGGCGAGTACGAGTACTCAGCTAAATACTGGGTATTGGCACCAATGCTAGTATTGGTGCATCCCTAGTTATAGTACAGGATTTATATAGTGTCAACAGTTTGCGCAGCGCTTTACAATATAAGGAGGACATTACGGTTACAATACAAATCAAGACAAGAGGTTGCCCGTGAGAGTTTACAATCTAAAAGGGAGAGGCGAGTGATACAAGAGGTGGTAGCTGTGTGGGGATGAGTTGTTTGAGAAAGTGAATGTTCAGTGCTTAGGCTGAGGCGTGATAGGCTTCCCTGAAGAGATGAGTCTTTAGGGATCGCCTAAAGGCAGTCGGAGTATGTGATAGATGTTCATGTTGGGGTAGGGAGCTCCAAAGGATGGGAGAGACTCTAGAGAAGTCCTGGAGGCGAGCATAGGAAGAGTTGACGAGGGAGCTAGAAAGCAGGAGGTCTTGGGAGGAACGGAGGGGACGGGTTAGGGTGATACGATACTTTGAGACAAGGTTGGAGATATATCTGGAAACACAGATGTGGATTTCTCTGTAAGTGGTTGTTAGTATATTGAATTTCATTCTTTGGGTGATTGGAAGCCAGTGGAGGGATTGGCAGAGGGTGGTTGGTTCGGTTGTTGAGTCTAGCAGCAGTGTTCATGATAGACTGAAGAGGGGACAGCCTGTGTAGAGGTAGGCCAATGAGGAGGGCATTGCAATAGTAGGGACGAGAGATGACAAGTGAGTGAATGAGTAGCTTTGCGGTTTCATTGGTGAGGAAGGGGCGTATTTTGGAGATGTTACAAAGGTGAAGGTGGCAGGATTTGGATAGTGATTTGATGTGGGGCAGATGTGTGGCTGGAGTCAAGGATGACACCTTGGCATGGGGGAGGGAGGGATAGTTCTGTTATCAATCGAAATGGAAAAGTTGGGGGAGTGTGCACGGGGGAGGAAATATAATGAACTCAGTTAATGGAAGATTGTGCTTTAAGAAGTGTTGGACATCCAGACTGATATATCAGTTAGTAAATTAGTGACGCTCAAGGACACTGAGGTGAGTTATGGAGTGGAGAGATATAAAACTGTAGTTGCACTGTTCACCATTGGTTCTGGATGTTCATCTGGCTGATGGGGTATAAAAGAATGATTTGCTTGTCTCCATTCACTGTCCTAAAATAAGGAATAATCCCCTAAATTTTGCGATATTTTATGGATTGAGACAAGTGAATACCGCCGGTTCTAAGAAGCCTCTACTGTACTACATACATGCAGTCAAATTGTAGTACAATCCAAAAGCTTTCCATAAAATAATGCAAAAATGTCACTATGTATGAAATGAAACCTAGCACAACAGATGAATGTTGTCAGTTGGGCTGCCTGGAAAACATTTCGGCAATTTTATTAGTATTGGTTAAAAAGAAGCTGCAGCAGACATTGCACATACTGCTCGATGTGAGGCTCACTCACAAATGGAGAGTCCTGAGGATGCACACATGCACAAAACTGTCCGTGGACCTGATCATTCCTCATAGAATTTATAACACATCTTTTGAATAATTGCTATCACAAAACCAGTGCAAGATAACAAATAACACAACACATAAAGCACCATTTATGTACATGACAAAACTTAGCAGCAGAGCAGTATTGTGAATTTAAAACAAGTGTATAATGGATCCTTGTACTGAAATTGTCTAAGGCTCTACACATCTTTACATGCTATTATTGCAAGGCTTATTGCAGGTAAACAGACCAAAGGAGCTCATAATAGTCAACAAAGTCAAGGAAATTCAGAAACTGCCAGAGTTATTAGTCTGGGTCTTAGAAAGAATCACTTTCGCAATTGTTAAATATTATATATATATATATATAATCTATAGAGAGATATATATCTATATATAAATATTTATATTATTATACCTTATATATTTTTTATACAATATATTAAGGATTTGGTGACAACAAACACATAGTAAGACAAGTACCCAAATGCCTCCATTAGTGTGCATGGGGAACTCCAACATAAAGGTTCGCTCACTACAGGTCTGATGAACTAATTGTGAAAATGTACAGCATGCCTGTTATATCTCCCTCCCCTTTCCCCCACAATACACCAATAAATCCAAGTGGAAAACCATTACTTTCACACATCACACTTTCCCCCACTTCAACATGAGTGGCCAAGCTTAACCATAAGCAAAGAAATACTTTAAAAGGGGTTCTAAACCCTCCGGTTGTTTTTGCCTATATCTACTGCTAGCATGCAGTAGATATAGGCAAGAAGTGTAAAAAAAACAAAAAAAACCGCTTAAAATCATTTAAAACTGACCTCGTTATCGCCGCTCGTTCCCGCGCCGAGAATCAGGAACTGCTCGTACGGCTGCAAAGCATCTTGGGGCGGGCGCATGAGCAGTTCCGATTCTCGGCCGGGAGACGAGCAGAGATGCAAGGTAAGTCTATGGACGAGTGCACCCGCCTGCAGACACCGCTGGATCGGAGGGACAGGGCAGTCAGCGCTGGATCGGAGTGACGTCACACCGCTGGAGAGATAGATGAAAACATGGGGAAAGAAGAGGAAGATCGGAAAAAGAGACATCATTTAAGGTAAGTGCTAACATTTACATGGGGGGGAGGGAAAAAAAAATTTGCCTTTAATGTCACTTTAAGGAATTTAGTATTTGAAGGATTATAAAGTCCTCCTACAGATTGGGGTGTTGAGCAGCAAGGGAGCCTACTGCAGAAATTGAAGGTTAGTTTTTCTTAAACCTGTAGCGAGTACAAGCAAGCAGTACAAGAAGTGGCGTAACAATCGCCATAGCGACCCAGGCGGTCGCTATGGGGCCCGGGCACAGGGGGCCCGGCCAGGGCATCCCTCTGATGCCATGTGGGCCGCCTGGGTCGCTATGGCATGCAAGGGTGCTGGCTGTCACTGACACTGCTCAGCAATGGCGTTTCCCCTCACAGCCGCTACGGAGCTGTGTCAGTGACAGCCAGCAGCTACGGCAGAAGAGGCCAGCGTTCGCAGTGAAGGAGGAGGTGGGGCCTGCCTTAGAGCAACCCAGCCTCCTCTTATATCACTGGCCAGCGACCTAAGAGCAGGTGGGGCCAGTGATGTAAGAGGAGTCGCAGGGCCTGTCGATAAAGGAGAAGTCGGGGGCCCGGGGACGGAAGAGGAGGCGGGGCCCCCGGCAATCACGGAGGCGGACAGCGCTGACAGGTAAGAGGTGTGCAGCCCATCTGAGACCCTGCAGAGCCCCCTATAGAGAGTATATGGTGGGCTCTGCAAGTGGCATAAATAGCAATCACGGGGCCCCAAACAATATTTTGCTATGGGGCCCTGTGATTTCTAGTTACGCCCCGGAGTACAAGTGCTCATAAAACATTAAGGTCCATAGCGTAACACAGTAAAAACATATATTTTTATTAAAACCGTTTACTCACAAGGATAATCGTGCAATTGCCTCAAAACAGCTCTCCTCCTCAGCGCCACTGCCGGTTACATGAAACCTCAATAGGGTATTATCCATTCAAAGATATGCTATGTACCGTGATACACTATGGACCTTTTTTAATGTTTTATGAGCACTTGATGGAATCCGGTGAATAAGGAGGGAGAAGGAGTGCTGTAACATTGATGGTTCAGCATTCAAGGGAACGGATTGGAAGTGGCTATTAATAACTCACTGAGCGCTGTACGACCATTTTTTATACTGAGCTGAGACTTTCTTGGTTTATTTAATGATTCATGGAAGTTTAAAAGGCTTTCTTCTCCTTCTGTCCATATTCCAAAAATATCGTCAAGGGAATATACGGAAATTTTTACATTTCAACGCCATAAAGGAGGGACTTAATGTGGATTCTGGTTTTCTGACACACTACCAGAACTTTTTATGAATCTACAGAACATCACAATATTCATGTATGTGGTATATATCTGATCTGTTTAGGGTTTATTTGTCATCCTACATTTATTTTTTCTGTCTTTTGATTATCAGGAGGCATTTTTTACTCCCAGGTCTAACATTTATGACGCCCCACAAACCCTCCTCCCCGTCAGTTTAGACAGCTTTCTCCTGTCTAAACTGACAAACTGTCATGTTGATCAGTATTGCTTCTGACCTGAAGAAGAGAGGTTCACTCTCGAAAGCTTGTCTTTTATATATTTTGTTAGTCCAATAAAAAAGGTATCATTGCACACTGCAATACTGCGTTTTTGTCTTTTTTGACATCTTGTCTACTGGACTAATACGGCTTACCCATTTATATTGCACTATATATATATATATTTATTTATTTTAGAGCTGGGCATTTGTTTTGGTTTTCTATACAATCAACGCTTCATTTGTGCTCCCTACAACCCCCTTAAAATTATTTGTGCCACATTTGATATTTCTCCCAGAAATATTAATTCTAAAAGATCAGCGAGGGGGGGAAGTAAAAAGGGAAAATGGACATGCACAGAAAAATGTAAGCTGTGTGAAAGCACTTGAACTACTAGAAGCCAGTCTAAAGAATATTTTCCTTCACTGGCTTGAGTAAACAACAAAACACAGAACGCTGTCTGCAGGGGCCCCAAGGACTGCACAATAAGTGCCAAAGGGGTGCAGGTGACCCATGGGCTGCAAGTTGGGCACCAGGGCCCTAGAGGAAGAACCTAGAATTCAATTTATGAAGAAAAAAAAACCTATCATACAAATATAGCACAGGAAGATTGTACGAAGCCAGAATAAAAATCACATCAACAATACTTTGTGGTATATTAAATAAAAATGTATTTTTATAAGAACTGCTTGTACTGTTTCACACACAATAAAAGTTTCACTCTCGAAATAACTTTTTTTTTTAGAGCGGGAAATGAATACTTACTAAAAATAGGTAATAATCTTCCAGTACATAAATAGATTTCCTGCATCTGTAGGACAGCTATTATGAAGTTATTTATTTTTATTGTATGTTACTACTAGTTGACCCAAATGAACCTAGCAATACCTGAAATTTGAGTTTTTGCTGCGCCTCCATGGCAGACCTCCTCCACTCTTCCACTTCTTTTCGTAAGTGTTCATTCCCCTGCACCAGCTTTAGCCTCTCCTCGCTCACACAACTGCTCTCTTTTCTTTCTGACTCCAAAACTTCGTTCAGCTTTTGAATAGTTTCCTGACATCTGGACAGCTCCTCCTCAGAGCTTTAAAAAAAAAAAAGGAATGAGTATACCTTATCCAGCAAAAGATCAATAATACTATATTAAAAATTCAGATGGTCAGGACACAAAAATCAGACAAAAACCAGGAAACTTCCATCATAAACACAGAAAATATATACAAAACCGCTGAACATTTCTGTTACCAATTCAATATAAGACCAAAAACATTGGCAAGCATCATTTTCAAACTGCCACCAAACTAGAGTTCATTCTATAGATGGTATTAAACTGGCTTCCAAGTATTTTGCATCATTACAATATGCATTGTTTTTCAAGCAGCCTGCTTTAGTAAGACAAAATACAGACTGAACCTATTCTCCCAAACGGCACTGATCAACAGGCTGTGATCCATGTGCTCTACCTAGGAATAATGTGCTAATCAAAAGTGACTGCAGGTGAAATCAGAATGTAATATTGTCATCTTCCAGTTACTAATTCAGGGCATGGAACAATAGCTTAAGTGTGTAAAGCGTTGATTTGCATCAGATCCAAACAGCGGCGCTCTCTAGGTAGTCTGGATCCAGACAGAAAAATATGCCCTTTGGGGAATTACAATTGTAACTGCAATCACAACTTTTCAGAAACTAGGCATTACATACAGATTTATGCAGATGGAAAGCAGAAAGCGATGATAAAAAAAAAATTGAGAAAAACCTACAGTAGAAAAATGAAAAGCGAGTTGCATAAAAATACATAAGAAACCTAAACAGCAGGATGTAAATGATGGTCTAATCATAGTTATTTTTCTCCTGTGACTAATCCCGTTATATTTGTAAATAAAATATACTACGGCAAGTGAGGTGCAAGGGGCGTACAAAATGGTCGGATGCCGGAGATAGAAAGAGCTACTAACAATACAGACTACACAACGATACATGCGTTTGTACACACACATAAACACAATCAGATGTGGAAGAGTTCAGCGTAATGCAAACATTTCAGTGTGTGTTAATACATGCAAAGGAAAGGTGCCACTCTAAAACAGGATATCATGGCTAGTGCTCAGGAGACAGGCTGATTCTGCAGGATACTAAAACTTTTAAACATCAAAGAACAGCATCCATTGTAAGTGATTAGCATTTGAAAAAGTTTAAAAAAAAACCTTTTGACACCATGTCACTTAAAGGTTTGTCAATATAGTCAAATGACAGGAAAAGTCCACAGTCCTCCATGTACTTAAAAGTCATGTCATTTTGCCTAGGCTTTAAAACACATGAGAAAGGGGGAAAGTATATATCCTTTTTAACTCAAATTAATACGGATTTAGCAATACTGACATGCACTACTAAAATGTGAATTTTAATGACAGCTCTGCTATACTAAAGTTTCTATGACCTATGCAAAAATGATTGTTTTTTCAGGTTTGTAATGATCTGTATAGAGGAAAACTAGCAGCTAATCATCATCTGCAGCTTAGCTCATTTGCTGATACTTATCTTGCTAATGTCACCACACTATGCAAATCCGATTTTGTTACTGGCACTATGGCCTCGACATGGATTGGGCCCCAAATGTTTTAAGCGTATGGAATAGACAAGTTTATGCAGTTCTATTAAAATGAGAGTAAATGAGAACTAGGAGATCAAATCTGCACACTGAAACACTCACAAAATGTCATATTATCTTGTAAAGGTCTGAACAGAGAGTAAAGAAGAACATTGAATAATGGTAAAGAAAGACAACTGTGAATATGTGAAAAGATAGTCTGTAGTCAAAAACAGGAACTAGTCCTTTAAAAATAACCCCAAAAAGAAAAAAACAGCTTTTGCTGCAATTGTCGCCTTAAATCCAAAGCTGCCATAGTCCACCCAAGTACTTTCTTTTATGGGACTACACTTTTTGAATTACCCATTAAGCTAATAAACACCAATAACTTCACAATATCACACAGCTAGCAACCAGACCCATCAGCACTATAAGGAGTCCTAATGAAAGTGACACTAAACTCAGGAGTTCAATCTTAAAAATGCATTCAAGTACCTATTAACAACAATGTATCCTATTTGTGTATCACTCAGCTGTAGATCCTCAAATCATCTCTGAATTGGTGCTGAGACTGTCCTTTCTTCTGGAGGGTGGCTACTTTGCCAAGCTTGTTCCTGTGATGGACTACATTCTTAATGCAACCTAGCTAACTAAAATGTGAGATTGTAGTATATCACAGGGGTGAGCTTGGAGTGGTGACTACTTTTATAACACACACAGGAACCATGGGGAACACAAGTAGCCACCCTCCAGAAGGAAGGACAGTGTCAGCACCAATTCAGAGATGATTTGAGGATCTACAGCTAGGTGCTACACAAATAAGATACATTGTTGTTATTAGTTAAAGGATAAGTTCACCTTTTGCAAAAATGAAAGAAATGCATATCTGATAATATAACAAAAAAATCTGCATTTCTGTCATTCTTGCATTCAAGTCCGGAAAGCATTGCAACGGTGATCACTTGATCAGGGCTGAAGAGCCAGGTTTCTGCACATTCTCATACTGGCTGAGCTCCGTACTGATGTACGGAGTATTAGTTAGGAGAGATGGGGAAGGATGGCTGGACAGGAATACGGACATCTCTGCCACATCTAACCAGAGAGAGGATGGCTGGACGCTGTATGACCTGCTTCATTGCAGTTTAAAGTCCTTCCCCATCTCTTCTAACTGAAACTCTGTACCTCAGTATGAAGCTCTGCCTGGGAGAGAATGTGCAGAAGCCTGAGCTTTGCAGCTGTGATCGAGTGATCGCAGTTGCCATGCTTTCCAGGCTTGAATGCAAAAATTAAAGACAACCATATTTTTTGTTATATTACTAAATATGCATTTCTTTAATTTTTGCAAAAGGTGAACTTATCCTTCAAGGTACATTTTTAGGGCAGCAGTTTTCTGCAGAAGTTCTGACTCAAAGTCTATAGCAGAGTTGCAGTGATTACTAGATAGCATTAATTGTCCAATCAAACACTTGATGTTAAACATCAGTTTTCTTTTGTAAAAATCTGAGCATCCTTGGTGTTTTTAGAAATCAACAAGTCTCGCTTCTGAACTAAACCATAATTGAATGACATTTACTTTGCTAAAGCACCATGTATCAAACAATTGTCACATTTTATTAAAATACCTTTTCACTTTTTTTTTTCATCATCCTTTATTGCATCTCAGTGCTGCTGATCACCTGCAGCCTCATTGCAGCCACGTCCTGTATACATGTATCCACTCCAGCGATGGCAGTATGGCATTTCTAAAGCTGGGTTTCCGGATAGGGAAAACGGTCTACATAATCTGTGCTGGTAGTCTCCATTGGAAGCTAACCCAGAAGCACAGCTCGGGGAGAGGGATAGAGCATTGCTATCTTATAACAGGAAGATCATGGAAGATCGGGTATTTAATGATAGATGCAAATTTAAAATAACTTTTGAAATTACATTAACTTGTTAAAGCTTATGTGAGATTTTAGTGATTTGGTTTATATATACATTAAACAATTCTCCTTCCATGAGCCGTTTCTTTAACAAGATCAAACTGAAGGGTTATTTAATCATGCTACATCCTGTATTACATTTTCTCAAGATTTAGGAAAATTCTGTTCACTAGAATAAAAGATAGGAACATAACAAATACTACAATAGTACTGAATAAACAAAACATGGCAACTCTCATCCAAAAGGCTTCATCAACCACATAAAAGGCTCTTACTTTCACTATAGTTTATGATCAGCTGTCAATTCTCTCTGGGCGACGTACAGAGGGTAAGACTGGTGCACACTGGCAGTGAGGCTCAGCAGCCAATGAGACCTATATCCAGTCTGTTAGTACTAATCCTTCCAAGAAAGCTAGACTTACTCCCAAGGTTTGCTTAGAGAGAATGTAGGGGGGTTTGTTGTTTTCACCCGGGATTTCCCAATGAAATCCAATTGGAAAAATGTGTAACTTTTGGGTGAAAGTTGTTTGAATCTTGTGTGAAAACATTTATAAATAGATCCCATAACCATGAATAATACAGTATAAAAACCTTTTAACACATGCATTCTAATTATTAGGGCTTCAACAGCAAACACACATAATAAATGTGCACAGACTGTAGCTATATTTTACCGTACCAAATCACAGGATGCTGAGCCTTTTTTCCAAGACATTTTCCATATGTTAAATGCACAAGTGAAAAAGTAAAATGAGCCAACATGTGGCCTTATCTCAAAATGATGTACAATTCCCCATAGGACAGTAATCTACATAGTCATCTCTGAAAGCTTTTACAGCACTTGGCTTTTTTCAGCTATAATTGATGGTACAATGGGTTTGCTCACTTCAGTTGCAATTGTTTTATTTTCTTTTGTACTGCGCGCAGGCTTATCTGGAGGTCATCTTTACTGCGTTCTGCAATCAGACATCGCTGTTGTAGTTCCTCTAGCTTTCTATAATCTTTCTCGCTTACCCGGCCTTCTCGATACACCTGCAACAAGAAATTGGATGGTGTTGACACTAGATCACCATGAGGGATTGAAATTTATTTTCTGGATTTGGGCCAAGTCAAAAAGCCAAGGCCAAAAGACTCAAAAGTATACCCTGCACGCACACAAACAGAACAGCTTAGGCTGGATACACAACAAAAAACTGTACATCTTCAACCAGTCACAAAACAAAGCAAAATATTTAAAGAACGCTGCAGAAATAAGAGTGGAACACTGAATGTTCTCAAAGTGAATGGCATTGATTATGAACAGCAGCATATATTCCATGGCTTTTTTTTTTTTTATTTATGCAAAAGCATACAGCACTTTACAGAAAGCATTTTACCGGTGAATCTTATAATCTAATTTCCCTATACCAGTTACCTAAACAACCCCCGGAACAGCTATACAGGCAGTGGTAGCCAATTAACCTTCCATAATGTTTTCTATTTCTGAAGAAAATAAAACATATGGTCCACAAGGTCCTGGTCTATTTCAGGACATGGAACCTTGATGCAGATGACACATGAAACAGTTGTCCTGAAGTAATGGGATTTTGCAAAATTTGTGGTGCTACATATTTCATTTGGATGACTGGACAACATGGCAGTGTTGAGAGACCACTGAATGCTTGTACATGGGCAATGCGAGGCACACACCTGACTCACTCCATTGAACTAGGGCTGGATTCCGGGCCTGGAGCATCTGGTTCTTTACAAGCTGTGCGCCTACAGGAATAGGCTGTGTGTTTGTGAAAGACGATGTGTGCCTAGAAGTGTCCTATGCTGCAGCCAGAGAGGTGAAAGAGACTAACACAAGAACCTCTTATTTTTTGGTCATGTTGCTCCAGTGTGAGCTGTGTGTTCCTGGGTACTAAGATGGGTATTCACATAAGGGTGAAGAGTTTGGAGAAGGCAGGAGAAGTGGACAATCTAGGACAACATAGCTGAACTGGAAAATGAGCTGAATTGGAGAATTTTCCGAATCAGCTATTTTGTCCTAGACTGTTCACTTCTCCTGCCTTCTCCAAACACTTTACCCCTTTTATGAATAGCCTGTAAGACTGAAAACATAAACTAGAGGGTACTTTTAGAATGAGTACAAAAGAGAAAACTGTATGAAGGGACTAGGTTTGAATTTATAGACTAGTGAGGTGGTCCTACAGGGGGGTCCAATAGTTAGGGCTTAGCCATAGTATGCCAACATGAGGAGGCCAGGAAATAGACTGAATTGCTTGATATAACCCTACACATTCCACCCTGGGAAATGAGTGGTTAAACTGTAATTAGGCATGCAAGTCTAGAACTTGGTCTTACCTTGTCCAGCTCTTCCTCTGCAGCTCGCTTCTCTCTTAAAAGACGTTCTATAAGACTCTGCTTCTCACTACATTCCTATTAAACAAAAGGCACATTTCACCAAATAATACAGAATCTGTTCTTATATGTTCATAGCTCTTCCAATCCCATCTAACTGTGCCTGTGCACTGGAAATCAGACATTCGGAGGTAAAGTCAAGTTTTATCGTTTTTTTTTTTAGATACAATGACATCAACTCCTTTGCTGATTGGTTGGAACTATCACTTCGTTCTAATGGCCGAGGTCCAAAGTTTAAAATCTGGTAAAGTTTGGTGAGTGCAAATTTTGTAATGTTATCAAAGAATATGGTATCTAGTGCACTCTACAAACTCTGAGTTGAATATGGAAAACGGGTACCTGAAGACAATTGTTGTTATGGCCATAATGCTTTATTACATACAACGACTAATGGTGAACAGATAAGGAGAGCAGATACTTAGTGATGTCTGCACATGTTCTTGCATAGCCTGCAGAATTCCCCAGGACTTTATTATATAAATGTCCAGCAGTTCTTGTGGTTGAAAGCTTAGCCCCAACTTCCCCCCAATTGGAAGTGGAAACGGGCCGCGCTCCCTCAGCACTCAACCATCGGTTATGCTGTGCATTTGCATACTAGAATGCCCTGGGTTTGAAGGCTCCCTGGGAGCTCTGCAAGATATGCAAGTATACATGCACGCACATCTACTTACCTGCTTTCCACATCTGCTACCTGTTTACAAAGTTTCACATGACTGCAGGATACCTTTTATTATCATGTTTCATGTTAATCTCTGATAACGGTGAGATAATTGCCATTGCATATTATCAAGGAATAGGGTAATTTAGAAAATGTTTCTCTTTGCTTCCCAAGGGCCTGGACAGGCATAAACACAACTATTTTTGCAGATAAAAAAAATTGAGCTTTTACCCACAGCAACCCAGACTGCCATGAGAAAATAAAATGCCTGGCTGCTATGGGCATTATGTCTTAATTGGATCTTAAGAAATTACAGTATGAAAAAACTATGTATTTGTGACTACTGTATCTCAAGAGTAAGTTGACAGTAAGACTAGGCATGATGTCTTGGTTCAAGTCAGAAATAATGATTTTTGCCTACGTTTTTTAGGGATATTTTCATACTAAGGGAATAGCTTCCAAAGAAGCTGCATGATGATGAAAATTATCTTGCAAGATTCTAAATGGACTAGCTCTATTCTCACTATAGTAAATGAAAAGAAAAGCAAAACACTTTTATCCACAGATTTTACAGTAATTTCTCAAATTATCCCTTAAGTGTTAAATGGTACTATTTGTGTTTAATGAGCACTAAGCAGTGCTGAATGATAAGGAGTCGCACTGACTATAGACCCATTTAACTTGCCTTGAAAATATAGGATATCACCATTAAGACAAAACTGTAACATGGAGAATCGCTTTTAATTTAAATTAGTCATTTGCAAGAACCTTTTTAGCTGTATTTAAAAGAGAATCTATAGACGGTATGTAAAGATCTGCATTGGAATGCAGAAATATTGCTAGGCCACAAAAAAAAGAAAAAAGAAGAAGATGTGCTTTTCATCGAGTTGAAAATGCATACACGTATTTTGTATATGGAACAGATCTGTGTGTGCGTATGTATTCCCGTATAAAAATAAATTATATGGAGTGTAACCTTGAGATACTGTCAGGAGACTCTCAATATGCCGGTGTCTGAATTATTCCATCTGCGGCAAATACTCCACTTTTTGGGATCATTGAGGTTACCCACCCTGGATAAACCATTTTGCACTACATATGAGAGGTGGTGCCCGGGGAATGGAGGACAGAGAGGGGGTATCTCAGTAATATATTCTCTTCTGGTAGATACGAAGACTAAGACACCGTTTATGTCAGAGTGGGAGAGAGACATGGCAATCGATCTGCCAATAGCGGTTTGGCAGCAATGCTGCCGGCGAGTTCTCTCGGGGCTGCTTAATACCTCCTTAGCCGAAGCAAATCACAAAGTAATATCAAGATGGTATATGGTCCCCTCCAGGATAGCTAGGATATTTCCAGGGACGTCTCCTGACTGCTTCCGAGGGTGCTCAGCTCCAGGCACTATGTATCATACATGGTGGCAGTGTCCCAAGGTGCGATCCTTTTGGAGCAGACTCGTTGCTCTTATATATAGAGTTGTTCGGGTCTATGTTCCAAAGGAGGCTCAATATGCTTTATTGAACTGCCCCACACCAGGGACCTCGAGGGTCCAAGATAAATTGATCTCCTTTTTTTTTCTGGCAGCTAAAATGACTATAGCAAAATCCTGGAAGCTACCAACGATACCTTTCCAACAGGTTAAAGCAAAACTATCATGGATAATGGTTCATGAGAAGATGCAGAGCATCCTAATGGACTCTGAAAAGAGTTTTGAATTAACCTGGTCACCATGGATTCGCTATACGGGAGTGGCGGCAGTGGTCTGACTAGGTCTCAAATAATTACAAAGTGGAATGAGATAAGTGTGTAGGGAAGGCTCCCTGTTTCTCTTTTTCTTTTTTGTATTGTTTTTTTTTTTTTGGTGTCTCCAGACAATACCTCAAGCAAAGGGGAGAGTTTGCCCACTTAAGGACGTAGGGTGCATTATAAACTATGGTAATATAGGGACTAAAATGGGCTAGATGAACCATCATTGGCTATAATATTATGGATTGCAACCCATCCAAACTAGGATATCTCTAGGGATACCCTAACACGTATCGATACCGGTCAGAAGATGGGGGTCCCCTGTCGT